GTGTCCTCTCTCTCTCTCTGTACCTTTCTGCAGGTTGCCCTGGCCCTGGAGCTCTATGTCTCTGACGAGCAGTCACCAGCCACATCGACCTGATCAGTGTTTGATTGTTGTGTCTTGTTGCTTTTCTTCTTTTGTCTCTCCTCTATCCACTCACCCCAACCGGTCGAGGCAGAAGGCCGCCCACCAAGAGCCGGGGTCTGTCGGAGGTTTCTTCCGTTAAAGGGAGTTTTTCCTCCCCACTGTCACCAAGTGCTTGCTCAAGGGGGATTTGTTGGGTTTTCCCTATGTAATAATATTGATAACAGTAAGGTCTAGACCTTACTTTGTAAAGTGTCCTGAGATGACTTTTGTTGTGATTTGGCGCTATACAAATAAAATTTTATTTGATAGCTAGCTGGCCTATTCTCCATGGTGTGGAGCTGCGCTTCTAAGTCTGTGAGCCTCGCCTCCAATGCTGCTAGCATCTGACATTTATTACAAGTACCATTATCGCTAAAGGAGGCAGAGGATTAACTGAACATGCAACACTCTGAGCAAGAGAAAGGAGGAGAGGAAGAGGGGGAAGACAATGCTCTCAATTAAGCTACTAGCTTAGCTAGCTTCTAAACTAGCTGACCTAAAATAAATGGTCTTATACTTGTATAGCACCTTTCTATGCTTTTACAGCACACTCAAAGTGCTTTCACATTATTCGGCCATTCACCCATTCGCACTCCCAAGCACTCACGCATTCACACACCGGTGACATCACCGGGAGCAACTGGGGGTTCAGTGTCTTGCTCAAGGACACCTCAACATGTTGACTGGACAAGCCGCGAATCGAACCGCTAATCCTCCAGTTAGAAAACGACCCGCTCTACCTCCTGAGCCACAGCCACCAAATTTGGTAGTTAGCAAGAGCTTCTGCAAAAGAAGTGCTTTAAGTGGTGCAAGTGTATGTTGTCTTAATCTTTTTTGAAGGCTGTCTGTTGTGCATAACTCCATGTCCATGCATTCTTGTTTTTGAAGAGCTCCTAGAATGGCTGTTCCACTGTGGAGAGATTGGGGATGTATTTCCCAAGGTAGTTCACCATTCCCATATTACGGTTGCTACTCTCTCACCAAGCGGTGAGAGAGGACAAAAAAAATAGGCTCGACCCAGGGAGCAAGGTATTGACACAGGTATGGCAGTTTATTACAGTCCACAGTTTCAATCAGATGGAAAGTGGGAGGACAGAGTGCCTGCTGCTGCCCGAGCCAATGAGGGTAGATGGTAGAGGAGGAGGGATAGAGGCCCAATCACTCACACCGGTCGTAACCCTGGCAATGGAGGCAGAATGACCAGACTCTAGTTCCTGGGAGAACACAGGGCAAAGGGAGAGTGAGAGTGAGAAGATCTGGAGATTGCAGCTAAGGCGTGGCTGGAGAGGAACGGAGCTGGAACACAGGTGGGTAGTAGCTGAGAGCCGGGTTGACAAGAGGGCTATGACACAGGCTAAGCTGGAGCAGCCAGTGGAGGAAAGGTTCAGGTAGGATGATGCCGAAGCAGGAGATCACTAACGGTGGTAGCATAGCTGGGAGGTCTGAGCTAGTTAGAGTGGCAATCATCGTAGGTAAGAGTAAACAGAAGATAGTAGCTTTCTCCGTGGCCAAGCTTTGTGGTAGGGCCAAAAACAAACTGGTGATGTCAGCGCATCTGAGCCGCTCCTAAATACCCAGCCTAGTAATCAGTTGATGTGAATCAGCTGTGAGCTACACTGGGAGTGTGTCTGTGGAGAGAGAGAGAGGGAGAGGAGAGCAAGAGAGGCAGGTGGAGACAAACAAACATGAGATCCCAAAATTCTTTTCAGCACCTGCACATCTGTCAGTGGTAACAGCTGTCAGATGGCTTCCACTTTATCTGGGTCAGTCCTGATCCCAGACTCGTCTATGAGGTGCCCAAGGAACTATAGCTGGCTCTGACTGAAGGAGCACTTTTCATGGCCATCTCTGCTTGTGCTGAAATCACAGTGGTCTGAGAGTTCATACAAAGCTCTGATAAAAGACTGCTTTTCCCCCCGGTCTTGTGCTGTTGGAAACACTCATGTTTGTGAATTACATTCCTTCTTGGCACAAAGTACTCATCAGACTTTCCAAGAACTACACCAGTCATCTCTGTGTCCATCATCCATGAATGCAAATGAGAGGTAGATACTGTATTTTCTAACTTGCTTCCATGGTGTATATCAGGCAGCTTACCTGCATGGCGCCATCTTCTTTGTCCAGCTTAGTGGTGGTTCTGTACCTCATAAAGCATTGCTTCTAGTCCGGCCACTCCTCCAGTTTGTCAAACAAGAAGTTCAACGGGGGATTAAACATGGCCATAACTCCTCTTTACGTTCACTTCTGACACCATGTGAATGATGGCAATGGAGGCTGGACTTGTGTTTTGCAGCTTTATTACAGAACAGTAACATGCTTTTTTAGTGTCTCTCATAAAACTTGAACCGGGCAGGCCCCCCACGATCCCAGAATCCCCTACGAGTCACAGCTCACCATCAGACATCCTTTATAAATTCTGACAGCTCACTACATCACTATTTCCATATATGACATTAGTGCCCCCCCCCCCGTTTTTTTTGCCACGGGGCGTTTTTTTTTTTTGGCATGGTGCATTTTTTTGTGGAGCCCTTATTCATATGCTGCTACCTTCCTTTAAAATTTCACCTTTGCACCCTGTATAGTTTAGTCATTAGAACTGCTTTTAGTTATGTAAATGTAAAATAAAAGTCTGAGCAAAAACAATAGTGCTCTAACACCATTGGTGCTTGGACTTTAATAACATTTCATTGTATAATAAGTGACCTGTTGTCTAAGATCAACCTGTTTAGCAAAACTAATATAACAGAGAGTGTGAAACCTGTTAGGTATTTTTTCCAGCCTGTGTTTGGACAGCATGGTCACTGGACTTCTCCCAGATCCAGCCACATTTGTTCTGTTCAGGTCCATCCTAGATGCTGATTGGGTGATGGTGCGGATGCTGTTCCCACGGCAAACAGGAGACTGAAAGTTTGTGACACTGCCATTCCGTCGGGGAGATGGAGTGTGGATGGAGGCCTCCTGGCTCGTGATGTCACTCTCCTGTTGATCTGGCTTTTTGTCTGCCACAGCCTCTGGCACCTGCAGTCTTGCTAAGGGTGTATTAAGCATCATAGCATCAGGGTCACAACGCCACAAGAAATAATGGAATATATACAGGAGACCAGATGAAAGACAAGAAATACCTGCAGCCATTTGGAAGACTTTCTTTTTGTCCTCAGTCCGCTCCTAAACATATTAAAAGAAATGTCTACTTTTAGAAAAGCTTGCACCATTAAATATCATTGTCTGTAATGTTCAGTTTAGGTCTGCATCTAGAGATTATTTTCAATCATTTCATTTGAAGTTTGGCTCAAAATATTTTAAAATGTTTAATTCCTCTATCATCATACCTATGTCATCCTGATATTCTCCACTAATCATGAATGTCCTTTCAGATCCAGTCACTCCAGTCACCTGACTTCCCTCGCTCCCTCCTGCTCAAACCTTGCCAATCACTTGCTTAGCATATATTATATGCTAACCAGGTTCCCTCAGTTCTCTGCCAGATTGTCTATTCTGTCTCTGTGACCATAGCTCTCCAGCCTTATATTGCTTTGATTGTGTTCCATAATGTTTGTGGCCTTTGCCTGTTTATGGATTTGCCTCTGTTCCTTTCTGTACTTTTGCTTGGACTTTTGCCTGCCTGTGTGCTACCCTCACCTGTAGCACTGACTGCACTTGGTTTTGCCTTCTGTGCTGTTTACCACTGCCAATAATGGCAACTTCATGTCAGGGACATGCTATTGGACATGCATTCCTAATCTTCATCTGTGGTACTCTAGTGTTTTGTAAGGATGTTCAGTTGATCTTATTGAGATTTTCATACTTACCCAGAATGGTCAGAAAAGCTGCTAAATGCAATGTTAACATATTTTGGGTCCTGCAAACCTACACGTCCTACAAACAATTCATGTTGAAAGTAGGTATTGCTTGTCCACTCTGGAGGTAATTCACCAGAAACTCACAGTCTGGAGCTGCATCCTCAGCTGGTTGTTGGTGAATTTAAGGGATCTGGCAATGGCCTGGAGATAGTATATTAGCATGCTGGAACACAGGGGAAATTCAAAAGTCAAGGTAGCATTCTGATTTGGAGATGTGTGCACATGTGTGTGTGTGTGTGTGTGTGTGTGTGTGTGTGTGCAGTCTTACAACAGCAGCAGCAGTGCTGGCAGCACTACAACAGGACTGGTAATGTAACTCATTACTTTACTAAACCACAGAGGGAAGTCACTGGCCACTGTCTCAGAGATGATGTCATAAATCTTCTCTTGACCACTGAAACACAAATTTTGGTGTTTTTATTTATATTAACATTAACATTTAAACAGCCACAGCTAAAAGTGTAGGAGCAGCTCCTCCTTAAAATGCGGTGTTGCCAGTTACTGTACAACCACAGCAGCAGTGCTTCAGCTCAAACGGTTGTCTACCACTCCCAAAGACATATTACACCATTAAAAAACACGTCAAAATGTCCATTGCACAGTTTGAAGACATGGAAGACAGACAAGGCCATTGACTAACAATTCAATAATTCTGTTAATTACATTTATCTGTACATTTGGCAATTATTCAAATTGTGTTCAAGTAATGAGTGACTCTATGGGCTATATTTTCCTATTTTCCTGCCAGCTCAATTTATGCCTCGCTTGATTCTCAGTCATTATGCAGTTTTCCTCAGGTACATGTCTGCAATTTTTTTTTTGCATATTGGTGTGTATTTTCATGCCATGAATGAACATGCTTACACTGAGGAGGGAGGACAGGTGCAGTTGTGTTAGATAGCACAGTGCAATTTTGGTGCTTGTTTTGACCTAAAATAAGGATGATAAAACCTGCTCAGACCATGTCTTATTGTAATCACAGGTGCATTTGTAATTTTCCTGACAAGCACACAGGTGGTGTTCTTGGTATGTGGCTATAGACATGAATATAGTCAAACAGTGTTGGCGCACATCAGGATGCACCATCTGTCCTTAGAGAATGCAGCCATAGGTGATCTTGAGTCAGTGTTTGGGAATACAAATCCACATAAAAAAAATTTCACATAACATATGAAAGCAGCTCACAAGCCAAGATAAATACAAACACCCTGAAGATGTCTCCATTAATCCTGTTACACAGCAGGTAAAGTCAGTCCCACCTCACTTTACACTGTTGTTACTGTTAAGTTATGGTTTCTTCAAACAAACCAGTTTCACACAGACATACTGTATGCTTGCAGTGTTCAGCCAGAAATGGAGATAAAATGAGGATATCATCCAGGTAAATGAATACAAACCACCCTAAAAAGTCCATCAGTACATCGTTGATCAGGGCTTGGAATACGGCAGGGGTGTTGGTCAGTCCAAAGGGCATGACAAGATATTTGATGTGTCCTAGAGTAGTTTTAAAAGCTGTCTTTCATTCATCCCCCTTTTGGATCCCCACCAGATGATAGGCACCGTGGAGATTGAGCTTGGTGAATACTGATGCACTCTGGAGAGACTCAAAGGCAGAGGAGAGCAAATGTAATGGATATTTGTTCTTGTTCTTGTTCTACAGTGATATTGATAAGCCCTCTGAAATTGATACAGGGATGGAGGAAACCGTCCTTTTTCCCACAAAGAAAAAAACCCGCCCCTAATGGTGAGGATGAAGGTCGAATACTACCTGTTTTTAGAAAATCATGGACGTTGTCCTCCATGGCTTACCTCTCTGGTCTGGTTATGGTGTAGAGTCGGCTTGAGGGTAGGGGGGCGCCAGGGAGGAGATCTTTGGCACAGTCCTAAGGATGGTGTGGAGATAGAGATGAAGTCTGATCCTTACTAAACACCTCCCACCTCCCTTAAGTCATGGTATTCAGCCAGAACCTATGAGAGGTCAATATCTTCTGCCGAGGTGGTAGGTACTAGGTGGAGGACAAGCTGATCTGAGGCAAGATGCAGAGCAGGTGGGACTCTGCTGAGTGATGGAACTGGACTGCCAGTCAATGTGAGGGTTATGGGACCTCAGCCAAGTGTCTCTCAGGATGATAGGCATCTCTGGTGTGGAGAGAATCTTGAACTGTAGGTGTTCATGATGATTACTGGCCACAGTGAGCTGGATGGGTGGTGTTTGATGAGTAATGTAGGCCACTGAATGACCATCAATTGAGTGTATCTCCAGTTTGCATTTGAGAGGAATAGGCGTGAGGTTTAATTGGTCAACCAAGCTGGTATCAATAAGACTCTGACCTCCTCCAGAGTCCACAAAAGCTGTGCCTGAAAAAGATTGTCCACCAATCCCTAAGGTGACAGGTATCTTGAAACTGGTGGTGTAACATGAATTGCTCCCACTCTCACTGGCGGGCCCTGTCTTTTGGCCAAATAGTGCAGTTCTCAATCTTGTGTTTCTGGACACCACAGTATAAACATGCACCTGCCCTCAGTCGTCGGGCCCGCTCCTGGGGTGGTTAATTGGGTTCTACCTAGTTGCATGGGTCCTTCTCCAGCCACGGTGTATGACGGGTCTGAAACACCAGAAGGGTGTGACAGGACACGAGTTAGTAGATGATCAAGCCTTGTGTAGTCTTTGTGTGGGAAGAGGGAGTGGCTCTTTCTTTATGCCGTTTTCGCAACCGGTTGTTGATCTTGATAGCTAGATTGGCTAGGGAGTTGAAATCGGTCAGGTCATCCCGGGTTTCAAGCTAATCTTTAATGTATTCCTGGAGCCCGTGCGAAAAAGCTCTGTTGTACCATGTTGCTTGGTCTGTGTGATCAAATACTGTCTACAGATTTTGAAAGAACTTGTCAATGGTGGCACCAATGAACCTCACTTGGGAGTCTGAGGCTTTGGCCCATGTCAGTGCCCTGCCATGTAGTCTATTGATAAAGTTTATCTTTGTGTGCTCAGACCTGTAGAATCGAGGTTGCTGGTCAAATACTCTGCAGCACTGTAATACAAAGCCTCAACACTTCTTCACCTCACCGCTGAATGGCTCTGGATTAGGGATACAAGCCTTGTGAGCAGGGCTATGCTGATGGATAGAAGAGGAGGGTTGGGGCCCTGCCCTGTTGAGGTGGATGTGGTGGAAGCTGCAAGGTAGGTGAGTGTAGTGGAGAACAGCATTACCTGCTGAGTGGGATCTTTAATGATTTGAATTTGCTGCTGAAGGGCCTTTTCCAGGTGGTCAATCTAAGCACCATATTGGACTATGGTGAATTGCACTGAAGGGTAACTAGTACCTAAGCTTGCTGAGTCCATGTTGGCCAGTTTGTTCTATTAGGATTGGTCTCTCACCTTCTGGTGAGAGAGATAAAAACAGAAAGGACTCGGATGCAAAACACAGGATACTAGTCAGAATCAGATGGTTTAATGAATAAAACAGTCAAGCCAGGTTGTGTATATTTAATGCGAGAAGCTGGAGAGTCTGGAGGCCTCGCTCTGGGTTGTCGTGTTGGTGGTGTGATAGGTGTGGGATCCAGGAAGTAGGGGTGGAGAGCAGCGTGAGCGCCTGGGAGGACAGGTCAGCAGGAGGAGAGAAAATGCTAGATAAATCAGATCAGTCTTACTTGAGATCTCTGATAAAGTGTAGCAGGCAAGAATGTAGGGTAGGGTAGGGTAGAACTTTATTGATCCCACAGTGGGGAAATTCCAGTGTTCCAGCAGCGGTAAGGGACAAAAACAACAGAGAGCAAGCAACAAGACACCATAAGAACAGATACCACACACCGATCTAGATAGACAAATGCAGAAAGCACAAAAAGAAAAAAACACAAAAGAGGGCAGAGCTACTGATGACGTTTGAGCCAAGGTAACGTACAGGTGATTCTCAATGAACTGGCATCTGCTGTGCATTTGTCTGGGGTTTAAGAATGTGTCGATGAGCTTCAGCTGTGAGCCACACCTAGAGTGCCAGCACCTGCCAGGAGAGAGAGGGTGCGCCGAGCAGACCTGACAATATGCAGTACTTCAATGTAAATAGTCAATGAAGGAATGGAGAACATAACTGGCAGGAGAAGAAGATCCAGGGAAAGGCTCTTTCCTCTCATATACATGGGGAAAGAATTATTTCCCTGCTGATTTTGTAGGTTTGCCCACTTACAAAGAAATGAAGGGTCTATAATTTTTATCATAGGTTTATTAAAGGATAGAGACAGAATATCAACAAAAAATCCCAAAAAAGCACGATACAAATGTTATAAACTGAGTTGCATTTCAGTGAGTAAAATAAGTATTTAATCACCAAGCAAAACATCACTTGGTACTTGGTGCAGAAACCCTTGTTGGCAAGCACAGAGGTAAGGTGTTTCTTGTAGCTGGTCACCAGGTTTGTGCACATCTCAGGGCTTTTAGTCCACTTTTCTTTACAGATCTTCTCTAAATCCTTAAGGTTTTGGCTGTTGTTTGGCAACTCAAAGTTTCCATAGATTTTTCTAAAGGATTAAGGTCTGGAGACTGGCTAGGCTACTCCATGACCTCAATGTGCTTTTTCTTCAGCCACGCCTTTGTTGCCTTGGCAGTATGTTTTGGGTCATTGTCATGCTGGAAGAGCCATCCACGACCAATCTTCAGTGTCCTGGCTGAGGGAAGAAGGTTCTCATCCAAAATTTTACAATTCATGGCCTCGTCCATTGGCCCCTCAATGTGGCAAAATCGGCCTGTACCTTTAGCTGAGAAACAGCTCCAAAGCATAATGTTCCCACCTCTGTGTTTGACTGTAGGGATGGAACACCATCACTACCAGGGTCATACTCAGCATTTTGGTTCCTCCAAACATGGCGAGTCAAGCTGATGCCAAAGAGCTAAATTTTGGTAGCACTCGGCACTTTCTCCCAATCCTTCTCTGAATCATTTAGATGTTCATTGCCAAACGTCAGATGGGCCTGTAGATGTGCCTTCTTGAGGAGTGGGACCTTGTGGGTGCTGCAGGATTTCAATCCATGGTGGCGTACTGTTTTACCAATTAATTGTTTGGTGTTTGTGGTCCCAACTGCCTTGAGATCATTCACAACTCCCATGTAGTTCTGGGCTGATCCCTCACTTTTTGTCAGGGATGGCCAGTAAAGCTACCAAGACAGTTAATGGCGAACTCAATTATAATACCAGATGAAAGTGAGTGACTAGTTCTCTTTTATTACTCACAGTAAGGGCAGACACTGCAATAGTCCAAAAAACACTCCAAGTCCAATAACAGTCCAGGAACAATGCCAACAAACAAACACAGCCAAGTAATCCAAAAGAGTCAAAGAGGGAAGTCCGCAGGTCAATAAACAGGAATCACAGGAAACACGAAGAAATGCTGGAAAGTCTGCGGAGTCAAGAACAATCTGGCAGCATCCTGGTGGGAGGACACTGCCTAAATGGGGGTCAAAACAGGTGTAGGCAATGAGCACCGATTACTGTAAGGTCAAAGTGTTTATTTCTCATATGTACAATGAGGAAACGTGTTTCCCTGTACAATAAAATTCTTACTTTTCCATCCACATGAATGCCACAAAATACTAATGAAATATAAAGTAGATAAATAACACAAAATCTAAGGCACTTTAAGCAGCAAATGCAGCAATATAATAAAAATATATAAGAATATAATAAGAGAATGTATGCTGCATGGGAGCAGCATGTGCAGCAGTCAACAGTCAATGTGCAATTATGCATGTGCAAACTGAGAATGTAAACTGTACAGGCCGACAGTACATGGCGCATTTCCTCGTAGTAAACTCCTCAGCTGTTTAGAAGTCTGAG